CCAATGGAATGAAGGTTACTAATCAGCTAACCTTAAAATAAGGAGATTCTCCCGGATTATTTGGCTGGACCTAGTGACATCACAAGGGTCCTTAAAAGTGGGAGAGGGAGGCAGAAGAGTAGAGAGAGAGAAAAGGTGACCGCAGAAGAAAGGCACAGAGGTGCCACATTGCTGGCTTTAAAGATGGAGGAAGGGGGTGACACGCCTTCCTTGTTTATCCCTTTGTGTGTGGCTTCTAGAAGCTGGAAAGGGTAAGGAAACCGGTTCTCCCCTAGAGCTTCCAGAAAGGGATGGAGGCCTGCCTGTACCCTGATTTTAACCCCTTTCCTACTTCTGAACTACAGAATTATTATTGCAAGGTAACACATTTTTGTTAAGCTTGTGGTAACTGGTCAGACGGCGATAGAAAGCTAACATGTCTCCCTTCTCTTCCTCCCGGGAAGTACCACTCCTCAGATGTCCTTCTCTCTGAACTCTAACTGAAAGAGATGGGTAGGGGCCGAGCTCCCTAATAAGAGCTCAGAGTCAGCACTCAGTAGGTTTTGTTGTTACTATTACTATTATGTCTTTCCTAACCTCAGCTGAGCCAGACTTAAATCCTCATAAGGAACCTCACTGAAATCTAGGGACATTATTATAATTACGCGCACAAATCAAGGTACCATTCTTCTGGCTCACGCGGCTGACGGGCCCCAGTCTCCATCAGGTGCGCCTGACCGCCCTTTCCTAAGAGGATTTTCAGCCCCCCCCCACTGTCGCTCCCTTGCACTCGCTCTTCACCGCACTGTCCTCATTTTTGTCATTGCACGCTTCTTTGCTTGCTCGTGTTCTCCTTCGCTGTACGCATCTCCTCCCCACTGCACCGCTCCGGCTCCTGTCGCCAGACTGTAAGCCCCGTGAGAGCAGGAACACTGTGACACCCCCAGTCGAGTGAGCGAATGGAATGTGGCTGAAGATCCTGCTCAAAGAATCTGCCTTTTAAATTCTTAGCCCTTTCTCTCATGTGTTTCCACGATTCCCTCCTCTCCTATTAAGGCCCAAAACATTGGGTCCTCTGATCTGGAGAACTTCCCGGGAAATCCAAAGCACAGCCAGTGGGATTTGTAGCTTTTTCTAGCATAGAATAAGACAGCGCTGGCATAAAAGGGTGCTCTCTCTTCCTTATCTCTGTAAAGAGGAACACAGCCTCTTTCCTTATGCCATCCTCAACTGCAAAATATTCATGATTTGATAGAGTATTTCATCTTTCCTCAAAACCTGATTGCCTCTGCTTCACATCGAAGGAGGGTACCTGAGTGCCACTTCTCTGAAGTTATCCAGCTGCCATATTTTTGGGCTTCTGTTGAGCCAAAGATGCTCATTAACG